GTAATGTTGCCCAAGGTTTTGTTTTGCTACCATGGCTGCTCTGTGCACTTTTATTACGGATTTGAGAAATATTCAAAACAATATTATCTCAGAATCACTTCCAGGTTAAGTTCTGAAAATAGAAACAGGTAAAAGTTAAAGGGGAACTCCATCTTCTTCATTGACTATGCTTTTCTCTAAAGTGTTGTCTTTATCAACCTTGAGCACAGGGGATATATATATATATATAACTTTGGCAAAACCCCTCTTATCTCCCTGAGCTTCACAGAAGATTAAAGAGGCTGTCCCAGCTCTGGTTGATGAGTTTATACTAGTAATATATGTAGTTTCAAAGCAAATCGACCACTTCATTTGGACAATGGTGCACTTTTTTTCTTCAGGGTGACCCTCACACTGATGCCCCAGGGCCAAAAAGGCCTGACTGCTGTTTACAAGGTAGAAAAGGGTACGACATACTTTTTCAGCTAGTTAAGTGACTTCTAGGCACAGATTCATAGCATTTCTGGCATTTCTTTATTTTTTCCTGGATAAACTGCAAAATTTCCAAAACTGTCAGTTTGGATCTGCCATTTAGAAGAGACACATCTTGGACAAGTTGTATTTTCTAAAATTCATTAACAACTTATAAAACAGCGATAATACCTACCTTATACATTAAGTTTGAATGAGCTAGCCGATGGCATAAATGGAAGAGTCTGACAAACTGGAAAGCCATAAATAAGATGCACCATTGCACTAGTTTAATACTGTTCAGCTTCTTACATTTATGCCATATCAAAACCACAGTACTTAGTAATAGAGTAGGTACTTGATAACAGTAGCAAACATACTAATTCCTAATAGGCACGCCTGGCACGCAGTCGGGATTTAGTAAATAATTATGGAACAGAACCTTCCAATTCTGGCAATAATCAGATGAGCTTAAGCCCTGTGGTATAGCTGGAATATTGAACCAGGCCTCAATTTCCCATCTTTAAATTCTAGCATCTGACTTGCTTCCTTCTCAGAATTATGAGACCAAATAAGACACTATATATGGCCCAGCTACAGTGGCTCAGTAGTTGAGCACTGATCTATGAATCAGGAGGTCATGGTTGGATTCCACGTCAAGGTACATGCCTGGGTTGAAGC